ACCACCACCACCACCACCACCACCACCACCACCACCACCACCACCACCACCTCTTACACCACTTTCCACCTTCACAGCTTCCACTACCACCTCTTCCATCATTATCTTCTTCACTACTCCATCCACCACAAAGTCCTTTCGAGTCACTTTAGTTGTGCAGTAGGCAAAATCACATATTTTCCGACTGATCGGCTATCTCCCGATCCTGACTTGACCTCATCGTGACCTTTCACTGCACACCGGGCTGCCATCTTGTGGTGCGAACCACGTCAACCTCAGCGCCCAGGATTGCCTAACCCATTTTCCATCCATCCCTCGCTCTCTCTCTCTCTCTCTCTGTTGTTGCAGTCGTCGGACGCCTCAGTACCGCGGCGATCTCACTACCTTCTCTTTCTCCTCCTCCACGAACCAAATCCTTCACCATCACCTCGTCCATCTTTACCATCTCTCTCTGCCAACTTCGCATCAACTACCTTCAGCCAACACGTCTTCCACTACTAACACTCACAACATTACTTCCCGTACCTTTTCCTTATCCTTCTCCTCCACCACCGCCTCCACCATCGCCTCCACCACCGCCATCACCACCACCATCACCTCTTCCACACTCCCACCATTACTTCCAATACCTTTTCCTTATCCTTCTCCTCCACTATCACTTCCTACTGCATCTGTACCTCCGCCTCTAACCCTCAATGTCGCTCTTTCTCTCTCTGTTGTTGCAGCCGACGTCAAGCAGTCGTCGGACCCCCCAGTACCGCGGCGACCCCCTTCAGGAGGCGTTGTCGCGGTCGCGTGGAAACGCCGCCACCGCCGCCGGCTGGAGCGACGACCAGGCCGACGCGCCGATGCCGACAGGCGGCGAGCGAGAGATCCGCGACCGTCCCACGGAGACCGCCAACACCGCGCTCATTCGCTGCCTTGCGTTCGGTCCTCCGCTGCACCACCGCGTCCGCGCCCCCACCGCCACCACGCCCCACCTCCTTGGCAGCTTCTTCGCGGGCACTTCGGGCGGCGCCGCCCTCGTCTACGCCCTCTTTGCCGACTCCGCACGACGTCCGCACAAACTGGCGCTGCGACACGCCACCGAGATGCAACTTCAGCATCGTGCGCCCATCATTAATATCCGCCTCATAGACACCAAGACCCACTGCTCCCTTCTCCCAACAAGTGCGATTTGTCTCCGGTTTAATTTACCTACCTACTTATTACTAATAAGTAGCCAGTATTATTGCACATTTTCTCCTTAGCCGTCTACCCTGCCTCCTACTCCACCGCAGGCAGTCACCACTTGCCGCCACCGCACATGATGGTTATTAGCGAGGAGCAGGTGCGTCTGTTCGCACTGCCGTCGATCTCTCTGCGCCAGAAGGCGCGTATCACCGCCAAGGACGGCTTCCGTATTAAGACCGGCAATATCATCGCCTTCGGACAGGCCTCCAGTAAGCTTGCGGCTCGTCTTTACTGCCTAAATCCCACGTCCACCTCCTTGTCGTCTTCTTTTTTCTTTACCTCACGTAGACGACAGTCGCGCGTTCAGTGGAACTGGATCGTTGTTGCGTGGGGTGGGGATTTTCGGACCGGAATTCAGCTGCGTGTTCACCAACAACGGGGGTCAGGCGGTGGTGCTGTCGGTTCCGCATCTGCGCCGACGCGACACGATTCCACTCATGGGACCGGGCGACCTGCTGGAGATGAATTCGGTGATGTTTGCTGAAGCCGGGTCTTGTGATCGTGGAGTCGTTGTTGCCCCCAGCCTCGGTCTTTACCAAACCGCTCCCGGTCAGGTAATGCTTTTTTCGTCTCCCTCAACTAGACACACTACTTGCATGATTTAAGTAGCAATGTTATTGGTCGGCAGTGCTACGTTCCACGTTGTAGTTGGCCATGTTCGATGTGGTGCTGGCCGGTCAGAAGAGCTCGGTGCTGGGCAATGCTTACCGCGCGGTGCATCGGGTGAAACCCACCGTCACCTCCACGGGCACGCCAGTCCACACCCCGGAGAATCGAAGCCCAATCAAAATGCAGGCCCCCACACCAAGCCCGCGGCTGCAACAGCGATTGGCTAAAACACGTGCAACCGTCAACCTCGGCAACACGCCCTCCACGTCACTCGCGTCTTCTGGCGTTGTAAGCGGCTCTTCACCAATTTCTGGCCAATCTAGGTGGGGCTCCTCGTTACCCCTTTGCTCTTCCTCCCCGCCCCCTGGTTATCGATTTTTGCGATGACGCGATTCTAACACAACCCTTTTTGTTTTTCCTTTCAGACCACTGCCTAATGGCTATTGACGCCCTGCGTAGCTATGGAGAAGGGCTAGAATCATTCCTGGGTGTCGAATCGTCGGATTCTTCAAAAAGGCTTCTTTGATACCTTCTAACTTGTCACTTTGGTTTCACTCAACCCACCACCCCCCTCCCTATCACCACACGTAATTACCCACGGCATTTCTGATCAACTGGAAAATATGTAAACGACACAATTTTCACGAAATGCTGCGTTGTTTTTGGGGTGGGTGTGGGAGTTGGGGTGATCAACGATGTGCAAACAGCAAGAAGTGCGCCTGTCGACACTGCTGCACGGATTGGTAGAGGGTTCTGGCGTCGCTGGCCACCACGAACGCCTGTCCGAGGAATCGGCGGTAGAGCTCGTCGCGGACGTCCATTTTGGTGTAGTATTCGCGCAGCTTGTTCATGTCCTCGATGAGGTAGTGGTAGGAGTCGGTGAGTTGGCGTTCCGCCGAGTCAATCTGTACACAAATTGAATATTTTGAGGGTGGTTTACCAGGGAGGTGGTGGGGGGAAGGAATCCTGCAGCAATACTTACCAGTGAGACGTCGTCGATCTCTTCAACCGTCTGTTGAATGATCACAAACAGCGTCCGGATGTGCTCACCCACCTTCTACAACGAATAAAATATCATCACTACTTAAATTGCACTCGGTAGACAGGATTTTTATAGGCGTGGCCACTGACCTTGACAGACGCTAGCAGGTGATTGGGTGCGGGGAGTGTGACTTTTTGTGTGATGTTGAGAATCTGCTCGAGCACACGGTAGACAGCTCGGTGAACCGGGCCATCGGCTTCTGAGGGTCTGAGGGGTCGTGCCAGGGGCGAGAGGTTCTTATTGGTCGGTTTGTCAGGCAGGGGTTGCAAGTAAGGCACATTTGAGACGTCATCCTTAGACGCCTGTTAAGAGGGCCGCAATAAACACGCAATTCATTCGCTTAAAGTATCAAGAAAAATTGGTGTAGGAGCCTACCTTGTTGGAGTTGTTCGTGCCGTTTTCTGCAAATAAGAATACAATTTAAACCGGGAACACTTCACTGCAGGGAAAAACGCGTTCAAACGACAATGCTTACAATTATCGATCGCAGGTTATGTGAATAACAATAATAATGGTATGGAAGGGGACATTTATTGGGGCTGTTTTGTTAGTGTGGTAGTGCTTGATGGGAATTATCATCATGCTGACATCGAACAACAAGTTTACGTCTGTTGGCTAAGAGCAATTTTCCTAAAACCAAGCAAGAATAAGCAGTGCTTTAAGCGATCAGTACATTAGTGGCTGTTTGATTAAGAAAGGCGATTGGCTGCCTTCAAGGTTGCAGCACCATTGGGTGTATTGCACCAATAGCAAATGCGCTGCGTTATAATTTGACGGTTAAACGTACCTGAGACTCGTTTAGGAATCTGAGCGTCGGAGCTGTCTGCAGAAAGACGTTTAGCTTCTGTCACGATTTCCCTTTAAAACGAAGCAATCGATTAAATCTTGAAGGGGAACAATCGATGAAAATTTGGTGTTTTAGAATCGGCGGACCTCTAAATGGAATTTCGAGAGAGCTAAAATGATTTACAAACCCTGCAATTTATCCATTTTATCGGCAGAATGCTACTTATATCTCGTGGTGTCGGGTGTACAATTAATGTCTGCGAGACGACACTTGTGGTCCCGAGTTCGAACCCCTACCTGAGTTTTGGCTGGAGAGAGGCGCAGGTGGGTCGAAGCACTGGATCTTCCATCCAACACTCCAGCATCAGTCGGTAGTGGGTGGCCAGACAGATGTCGGGCCGAGGCAATCGCTCGCCTCGTCCGATCGCTGCCACGGCCTCGGCGTTGGAAATGTCGTGGAAGGGCTTCAGGCCGAACGAGAGGATCTCCCACATGCACACCCCTGCAACAACGATGAATGTGTCGGATTTAGCGCCACCACAATCATCGCCATCATCATCTTTAATCATCAGACTAAAGAATGACAGATTTCGCTTTCATCAGCTACTTTTTTTGTAAGGTGCAAGTGTGTATTGTGGATCAGTGAATTGAGTGCATTTCTAAACCTAAGTGGCAACTTTTCAAAGAGCGAATTGAAAGTGGACAGTGTGGTTGGAAAGAGTCTTACGCCGGTGTCGTAACTAACACGTTTGTGAAAGGTAAATAACAAGTCGGCTAAAAGGACCAATCAGGTTAGTGAAAAATGAATGCACACACACACACACAACCTCCGATCGGACCAATGAAATTGACCGAAACTCACACCTATCAGACGGACCAATCAAACTTGCCAAAAGCTAACCACGCGCCCAACTAACTTACCGAACATCCAGACGTCGGAGGCTGGACTGAAAATTCTGGATTGCAGACTTTCCGGTGCCATCCACTTGATTGGCACTTTCCTGCCTTGTTCGGCTAAAACCATACGCAATAATGGAATTTTTTCGATTCAGCCAATCACAAACAGCCAATCGAGTTCGCGAAAACAACCAGTAGTAATAAATCTATTTTTATTGGTTAAAATGCCACATGCATTGTTTTGGTTTTTCGCTTAGTTTAGAAGCGGTGACAGATTTTATCGCTGTTAAATTCCTAGAAATCACAATAGCAATGTCCTCTAACGAGGTCAATTTCACAACTATGACCTCGGTGTATTTGGCAATGGTGCTGCATTGGGGGGGTGCATACGCACTACTCAAATGGGTATTAGCAAAATATCGCCTCAAATTTGAAAAAAAAACAGTGCAAACTCACCAACGTAGAAGTCCTGCGATTGCAACTCCCTCGCCATCCCAAAATCAGCCAATTTGACGCAATTATCGCTGGCTACTAGAACGTTCCGAGCGGCGACGTCTCTGAAATGGTAAAAAACTCGTATTTTTTCTCGTTCGTTTCAAATGCAAAAACCACCAAAAAGCATTGTGCGGTAGAGCAGTGACGAATCACCCACCTGTGGATGATTCTGAGGCCTTCCAGGTACGCCAAGGCTGAGGAGAGTTGGTGGCAGAAGGTCACAAGGGTGGTTAGTGGGATTCGCGATTGTCGTTCCAGTAGGTAGTGGCGTAGCTGGAACCAGAGGGATGGTGACAGGGTTCGTTATACCTCTTTCAGTGCCGGAGTCGTGGGTGTTAATCAAAACTGAGCACTTACAGGCGTTACTTCTTTACAGGAAACAACTTTTTGGCAAATTGGGACCGCTTACCAACCTGTTAAATTACATTTTTTTTCCTAGATGTCGTTAAACAGTGAAATTCTCGTGGATTCTTCTCGCTTAAAGTATTCGCACACCCACAACAATCACACACAACTCACCTCACCCTCGTCAGCAAATTCCAGCACAAGCCAAATCGGATCTTCTTTGCAGACCCCATAGAGTCGGATTACGTGTGGGTGCGTAAGTTTTCCGTGGAGGTCTTAGCCGAAAATAGTGAAATAATCAGTTAAAAAAAAAAACAACAACACCAGCGGCAGCAACATCAAGGCGAACCGATCCAGGAAAGGTGCTATTTCTTGCCCAGATATTGACGATTTGGGACACCGAGTGGAGTACGCTGGAGCCCCCCCCCCCGCCGGCGTGTCACTCACGTCACCCCATTTTTGCTGATCTTAGTAAGTCGAATTGGCAGCCGCGTTGCCGCGCGTGCGTGCGTGTGAAAAATCGATAAGATCAAACACGAACAGCCCACAAGCGTGCGTGCGTGCGTGCGCGCACGCGCCCCTGCACTCACACGTTGCCATGCCAATCACAGCGAAGCCGCCTCAAGTCCTGCTAACCACCTACCTACCTACCTGCCTCCTCCATCCACCGCTGTTTCTCCTCCGTGCCAAGGCCAACCTTGCAGGCTTTCACAGCGACCGGAATATTGGACGATCCAGCCTCCTGGCGAGGGTAAGAATAAAAT